TTTTGAAGAATATTTGAAATCGTAAAGTAATAACCTAAGCTGTACTTACTATTATGCATATATAATTAGACCCCTTTTATTATTATTGATCTACTTTATAGTTGAATGAGTAGAAGGATAATTAAATTGTAAACGTTTCTACGCCTGTTATGATATTGTTTTTTATGAGTAAACACAATCTTCTGTAGCTGACGTCAAAAATTTTTTCCTCGTGGCTTCCGTCTGTCTGTCCTGGGATTAATTAGCACAACCTTTTACACCTTCAACACACCAGTTCTTCACGACCCTCACAAATGACTCTCCACACTGGTATAATATTGCCAAGGAGAACCTGGTAACCCCACTATACTTTGTCAACACACACAGGCCTATAAAAAAAAATAAACAACAATATTAACTCCACTCCCAAGGTCGAGATTTCCCCCCGCGGTTTATGTAGAGAATTTGTTTTACTTCTACTTCCCCTACCGCAATATGTTTTTACCTCCACTTCCCCCGCCTCCCATAGTCTGCGTATAAACAATCCCGTATTTACATCTTCAGCTGTGAGTGGATTACCTGCCTCCCAGGATCTATGGCCGCCCGTAATCCTCTGTGACGGCCCGTTCCTTCACCTGCCACCTGCACACAATATTGACTCCATTCATAGGCGAGTCTCACACACACACATACAATCCCTCCGTGAACCAGTCAAGATGGTTGACTTCAGGAGTGTTAGATAAGAATGTTTTTATTCATTAAGACGGCGAGTTCCTCTACATTAAAGGGATGTGATTTATTTATCAGTTATTAATTAATGGTGGACTACAGAGCACGTCATTCATCAACAGATAATAAACTTTAATACGTTATTCATAGTTTAATGGTAATATTCCACAGATTCAAGGACAGAAAATCCCAATTCACGGACACCATTGAGGAGAGGTTTAAAAAACTTCATTCACAGCTCTAACTATAAACCAAGAAGCATTAGATTCCCTCATTTCGTCTTTCCCTCTTTCTTCTTCTTCTCCCTCGGCCTCCCAGCTCCTCAACAGACTCTGGCCAGGCCCACATCTTCTCCTGGGTGTTGACTAATAATATTAAAG